AGTTGGCAAGGCATCCCGCATTCCCCGGTCTCCGTTGCACTGACTCCGAAATGAGAAGAAGGTAGCTTTGGGTACGTCAGTCCTATTGTCACCAAGGGCTTGGGTGAGCTATTTCCTGTCTGAGAGTGCGCGACATATTTCTTCGTCCTTGTTGTCAGAGTAATGTTGGTGATGCGGGTGTGTGCTTCCGGGAAATTCTGAAATAGTGGCATGAATGACATTCTGCGGTTTCTTACGTTTTCTTGGCCATTGTCCTCCAGAACTTGCGTTTGTTCCAAAGCTATGTTCATACGTTTGCTGAAACAAAATTTACGTTCAGACATATCCAGTACTGCAGCATTCAACTTTCGTACCTTGGGGCCGCCACCAGTGATGTTGGAATGACAGCACGTCATGCTTGTCAGACCTTCTGGCAAGGGAATCCTCCAACAGTTGGCAGTAGTGCGAGCGAGGGTTCGTCCACATGGTCTCCTCCTCGCTTAGACAACGCTAGGAGGTATTGGTGAGAAGGCAACTGGGTGTTGTCCATGTCTGCCTTCTCTGTTACAGCTGACGGCGCCATGGTTATCTAGCACCTCCTGCCAGGCACGAACAATGAAGTCAGCAGGGATTACTGATTTGTCCGCCTTCGACACAGCCATGAGTGGACGATCTTCATGGAACTTGTCCATCACACTGTCACGACTTGTCACTGGAGAATGGGATAGACGTAGGTACTGATGATTATGGAGTATTTCTACCCGCCAAGTGGAGACTTTTTTCCAACGTCTGCTCCGGAAGATGTATTCTGCAACCTGTGCACTCAGTTGTGCTTAATTGGGGAGGCGAGTGGGACTGTGGATCGTGTTTATCATTTTGTCAATACTGGAATGAACTGTCAAACATCTTGTTTGCAGCTTGCATTGGCGAGCGTGCACTTCTTGCTGAAATATTTCCTCTTATATATGTATACATGCTATTATTACCTTTGCTATTTAGTGCCATATAAGGGCTGGTTAAGGGCTGGTTTGGCCATGCCGACCTCAAAACCCCCTATTTTTATTAGAATACTCCTGCAAAACCTTGCATTAAATCACCCCATCCATTTATTATGGTCCAGAAAATGTGGATATACGATCAAGATGAATTACTTTATGTTGTTTCGAATTGTTTATATGGCATTAGATTACTACTTCGTAGGACTATACGCGTAGTTTTAACAAAAGCGAGGCTTCCTGACGTGCTTCCCCTGACCCAGACATCCACTGCTACGACCTCACTGGTCGAAGGTAAGGCTTAAACGGACAATAATCATTCAAATGCTTAAAAAGTATAAGTCAGACGATTCCAGGCTTCTTTACTTTGAGGGAACTTTTAGATCCGTTTTTGTTTTAAATGTTTCGACAAAGTTGATTAGCATCGTTTACCCAAGAGACGTGTTGTGGCGCGCCTGCTCTCTAAGATTACGACTTTTTCTTCTGTGTTCTCAAGCACGAGTCAATTTTGGATCATTCAAGTACTTTATGTTATGCATCATTCATTGCATATGTCCCTAGGGCATCCTAACCAGTAATATGTGTATGTGGGGTGACTGATTTCTGAACTGAGAGCAAGGTTCAGTGGTTCTCTCGTAAGGTGGCCTTTATGGCCTTCTGACGAACCGGTTCATGTGCGGCATGCGTAGACGGTTTATTTAGCCTCGTCAGCTACTGCGCCCCAGCCCGCCTCCGGTCTTCCTGACTCTTCCTGCTCAATCCGGTCAGAGGAAACAGGGCGGCAGATGCCGCTCACGTCTGTTATTGTTGTAAACTATTTCTTGCTCTCAATTCACCGTCCTACAGCCACTCTGCTGCAACGGCGGCGGCGGCGGCGGCGGCGGCGGCCAAGTTATCGCATATTGCCCCAACTTTTGAATCACAAGTTAAATCTTACTTGCCAAATTATGCACAGCAGTAACGTTTCACGCACAGTTCTTCCCCAATCTTCCGTCCACTCAGTCCAATCCATTTGCGAGCTCCGCTAGGCACTTATTTGCACTACTCAGTGCAGCCCTGTGTTTCTGTGATTGGCGTTAACGGCATTCTGTCGAACAGTTAGTCCTTTTCACGCCTCTACTCACGTCACTCGTGCAGCTTGTCTTCGACGTTTACTCGACAACCATGCAAGTATAGCTGTTTAAAGTAAAGAACTGTCCCAATTTCAGACGAAGGGGACTAAGAAACCAATTTCTCCCTCGGTTCCAGTGGATTTAGGTTAAGTCCAGGAAACTAACATTCCTTTCTGTAAATTTTCCCGCAGTTGACTGGGACGAACCCTTTTTTAATTCCTCGAGTGCTAATTTTCGTTTTTTAACCGCCACAGGAGAAGTCTCATTGTAGAATTCTCGGCAATTAAGGCCGCGTCTAGACTGTCTTCTCATCACAGCGACTAGTGTTGTACCATGCATAGCAATTTGTATTTCTTACTGAAGACACATGAAACTCTGGAGTGAAGAAGGTTTCTAGGTCCCTTCGAATAGGGAAAAACTCGTGGGTTTGCGCAGCTATGGACTCACATCACCATAAATTTTCTCACTTGAGTTCGTGTACCAGGCATGGATTAGACCATGCTACGTAAATAACTTTGCGGTGCGGGAGGGTCTGGATGATAAGCACAGCGTTGTGCTGTGAAAAATAGTTTTGTCTCTAGGCAGCAGTGTTTCGTCGTACCAGAGGGTTCGTGAAATAAAAAGTCAATTGTTAAATTCAGGGTCTTTAAGCGTCCAAACTATGTTCAACAGCGCCTGCTTCAAATAATTTTGCAGGGGCTGCATTATATGAGATGACAAACAAGCATTTCATACCCAGTTCATTCTAGATAACGGTTTTTTCTAGAGTGGCCATGCCCGTGCGGTGTCTTTCGATGCAACAGTTTCCTACAACCAAAGAGGAGGAAATTACTAAGCGTATTTTAGAGCAGGGAGTCTCCACTGCATTCTTGGCATACCATATCATTGACAGAGGAAGACGACTGAGGTATTACCGTTTACGCATGGATCTCCAATCGTAAGTCCGAGACTGTCGGAGGGAGCCGGAGGTTTTTTCCCGTGTCGAGGACGAAAAAATCATAGAAAGTAATTCGTAGAATTCGACAGTTTGAAACAGTAGTTGAGCTTGCGGAAGTCAGTGTGATGCCACATCTGTCCACTTTTGTCAGAAGGAGATGCGATCGCTGAAAAAAAGTTAATTGGCCCGATATTTAGGATTCTTACCTGAACTTCTCATCACCGACAGTCGTAAATAGGGGTGATGAGGCACAGTATCTATAAAACGTAGTCGCATGCAACCACAAGTCTACATAACTGGCAGCTTCAGCGACTATCTCTGATGGTGGATTCGAGTAAAACTCCAAACTGTCACGTCAAGGTACTGCTTGTTCTAGTGATCAAATCTTTTTCTTCCTTGTCTTTTGAACTGCTTTCTGGAACCCGCATCGTCGCTCCTACCAACGTTTGGTCATCAGCTGATTTCTCCTGTAAATATGCCACTAACAGCCGATCATCGCCGCCCGTCCTGTTCCAAAGACGACTGAGGTTTAGTGACCCTGTAACGACCACCGAGCACTGAACTCAGTGACCATCCCTGATTATTACCTTGTACAACATGCTCGAGATTCACGCCCTCGCTGCATTGCAGGCGTACGCTCTCGAAGATAAACTTAGTTCTTCCTCACCACAGGATATTTGTTTCAGTCATTACTTCCATTGGGTTCTCTAGTTCAGTTACATTCATTCTGGCTTCAGAACTGTAAATTAGAGGTTCCGGTGTTTCATCGCTATATCAGCTTCGTTTATGGTGTGTGGTTAAAATTCATCAGATACATTTAGTCACTATAAGCACGATATTTTCTAACCATCTGGTGTAAATCACTCCTGTTCTACCCCCTCACGAGGTCACTGTACGTGGACGACAGGATCGAATGTAACAGATAAGAGGAAGTGAAATTCCGCAACTTTCCTTTGTGCCATATGAAAGTATCAAGGAATAAATTCGAGAAATTCATAAGATATTTGTTATACACTTCACGTATCCTATTCAAATCTAACGTCTCCAGTCTATTTTATCCTAAGGAAGGAGAGTATCTAACAATTACTTATCAAAATCCGCAAAGAAACCGTGGTTATCTTTTCTGCAGTATGCGGCAGCCGTGTCATTATTGCAAACAACTGGCTGTTATAATATATGTCTGCCTAGGAGCCAGTAACGAAAAGCACTTGTAGGAGTTGCCCAAAAATGAATAATATAACGATACTTTACTGTGTGCGGCCTCTCTAAAGTACCCCGAAATTGACATTATTTATCGTTAAAAATTGCGGTCACCTTCGAAACCCAGAACTTTCGTGGGTAAAAATAGGGAGAGGCCACCCAAAAAATTCTACCGGCCAAAGCAGCGATCTTATCGCAACTGTCCTAAGCTATGCAGCCATGGGCTGAGCCGCACACTGGCGACTGCGGTAGCTCCTGACCTCTGGAAGTAATGGTAAAAATTGATAATCCTTAGCTTCGTCTAGCCCTCAAAAATATGTGAGTAATTTTCTCCTGAATTTTTTCATTCAATTTTATTGCCCGGTTCCCATGAGTTATACTGCCTTTTACATTCATACGATACTGAACTTATAGGCAAAATAGCATTACCGACAAAGGCAAGGGAGACTGGTCGACGTGCTTTGTTGGTAATGATATTGTGCCTGTATTACACGCCCCTGTGCGGCTGCTGGCGGGGCTGGAGGGAGAGCCCCAAGGCACTACGGGACGAGTATTACACAGTGCATCTGTTTCTGGTTAGGACGCCCCCCACGTTATACAGTAAGCCAGCGCTAGGCGCCGGTGCACTAGGCTGGACGGTTGCGATTTTATTCTATGCTGGTCACTTACTGTAACATTTGTAAACTATTGCGACCTCAGATCAAATGGCGTAATCAGGATTCTTTTTTTACTTCGAAATTGTAGAAACCAACCTTTGACAACTATCACCAGTGTCACATGCGTATGGCTTCTGAATGTCCTCTACCAGTGAATGCCAATCTGACAACTGGTGCAGTTGCGGACTTCAAGATGATCGGAACTGTTGAACGAAACCCGGAAGACAAACATCAGCACAAAATGTTCCACCCAAGCTTTGAGGTGCCCTTCGGACAGCTGAGTGGTCGCGAAAACTTCCCCCAACTACCTATGGATAACCCATTTGAGCGTACACAGAGTGAATCGTCAGGAAATATCTTATCTGGATACAATTTCCTAGCCAACCAGATATACCGATCCGTTTCGAACCCCCTTTATAAACTGGTCAGAACTGTTGAGAACACAGGTAGTGAAGGCAGCCAGTTAGGGAACTCGAAACAGCTGGCAGCCAGCGCAGATGATAGTCGGGGCTTTCCGAACTGCCTTCCGTCCGCAAACGGTGCACCACATTATGGCAAATTTTACAATACCGTGTCGGTCGTGGAGGCCTCGCTGAAGCCCCAATCATCCAGTCTGAGCATAGGTGCCTGCATGAAATTTGAGCCATCTAGTACAACGAGCGGTTCGAGCACTTCTACCGGTAACACTGCGAGTGATGTGACGTCAACGGGACCGTGCAGCAACTTTGACGACGTACGTTGTTGTGATGAATATCCCGAGGGTAAGGTGCGTCTGTCACCCAGCCAGAGAATGCCTGAATCACCTAGCAACGGGGCGGCAGTTCTTACTCAGTCGAGCGTTGTACACAGTTTGGCCATTGCGACAACAGCGAACTCCAACTTCTGTCAACAAGGAAGTCTGACTAGCTCGGGCGACCAGGGTGCACTACCGTGCACAGCCATTTCTTCACCCTCATCCACCTCCTCAAAGTCATCTTTCTCTTTTCAAGGAGAAGTCCAACAGAACCCACCCGGTCGCCTTAATACTTCAAGTGTACCAGCACAGACGCAGCAGCCCCATCGACGGCAAAATTTGAACATCTGGGAATTACCTACTGTCCATCAGTGGTATCCTGGGGCACACCAGCGTCCAGGTCAACAGACACCTCTTGAATCATCCGCAGCTTGTCATTCAGGAGACGCCTACAGCGGCATTAACTGGTCAAATAGTACCAGTTCAGGTATGCAAAAGGTCCTCTCAAACCCCTTTGCCTCGATATCTCTTGGTCTGAACAACAATAACATAAGTACCTCAAAACAATCGGAAGTCTACAATACTAAGAGCGAAACACCATCGCCTGTTCAGTCACCGGTCGGTGGTAAAGCATTCGCCTCCGCTGATCTGCTTTCCAATAACGCAGGTCACCTTACCCAGCGGTACCCTCAACAATATTTTCAGGAATGGGCAGACGCGAGCAACCTGAGGGACTGCGTCTACTATCCGTCCTTTGAAAACGCTACTGGAATGACTGTGACAGGCTCCAGTATTCCGTCCCCCCGAGCGGAGGAAATAACTTTCTCCCCCCCTTCTACGGCGATCAACACCGGAGGAAGGGGACCGTCCACTTCTTCCTCTTCTGCATGTCTGGGATGCTGCAACTCCGCGACCCACCACCCGGCACTTTCCACATACACTCAGCACGCGGTTGAGGACAGCGACCTACAGAACGGTCTCTGTCTAATGGATCCGATGCGTTCACTGCCACGGTATCTGACCAGCGGTCTCTGGCCCCCCTGTATCAATCCTAAGCTCGAGTGGAACGCGAGCAACACAACTGATGAAAACGCTCGTTTGCCCGCGGAGGGCAGTCGGTTCTACACTGGCGAAACCGATACGACATCTTACTCAGGTCGCATGTCCGCTATGCAGTATATGAACAGTTCTTACGGCTTCCCTTCGGAGACGAAGGAATGCATTGGTGGCTGCTTTTTTCCCCCGGTCCCTCGCCTAGGTCACAGTATGTACTCCGGCCGAGTGGGAGACCTTTCAGTGCATGAGATATCGCCTAACATGGCCGCCGCGATCCATCACAAGGTGGAAACTCATCGATTCTCCACTATGGATTGCGATCCGCAGGAGCTGGAGGCATTCGCAGAACGCTTCAAACAACGTCGGATAAAACTCGGTGTAACACAGGCTGACGTCGGAAAGGCCTTGGGACGTCTGAATCTGGCTGGCGTCGGTTCCTTCTCCCAGTCTACCATTTGTCGTTTCGAGTCGCTCACTCTCAGCCACAACAATATGCTTGCATTGAAACCCATACTGCAAGCTTGGCTTGACGAGGCTGAACAGGAGGCCGCTGCGCGCCAGAAGAACCCCAACGCCTTCGAGATGGAGGACGAAGACAAGAAACGCAAACGTACCTCCATCACTGACCCCGAGAAGCGCTCCCTCGAGGCCTTTTTCGGCATCCAACCGCGACCATCTAGCGAAAAGATTGCTCAAATAGCCGAAAAGTTGAACTTGAAGAAAAATGTGGTCAGAGTATGGTTTTGCAATCAGCGACAGAAGCAGAAGCGTATGAAATTTTCAACAGCAGGTCTTCTACACCAAGTTAACGGGATTTAAGTACACTACAAGATCATCAAACTCGCTAGTGCTACGAACCACACAGTATGGCCTTTCACTGACTTCTAGGACTACAGCTGAAGTTACAGGGGTCCCCCGTACCAATCCTCCACCTCGTCTTTTCAGAGCGCCACTCCTCAGCCGGTTCCGACATAATATGTACTCTTGCTGTATCATTGCTTATTCATATCTTACTCGAGCTCGGGTTTTTTAATATAAAGAATTGTTTGCTATACATTCACGTCACCATCGGAAATGCATCCTCAGAAAATGCCTTCTGCATACCTTGAGCAAAAGTATTGAACATGGCACAAGATTTAGGCAACATGCCCCTTATATTCGTCTACCATCTAGGTTACTGAAAGCCGGGAATCAGGAAATCTAATTTGCCTGTTGCAGAGGAGAAGTATAATGGCTGTGCAATTGTTTCCTCCACTCTAGTTAACTACTACCGCATCGCCGATGTTGACGCCGTGGATTTCACGACGGGGGTGATGTTGCGTGTTGCTATTGCATTAGATCCTAGGTTATCTGACAAGGCCGATTCGTGCGCGAATGTCCGTTGGCTACATAGAAACGATGGAAGGAGTTAAGTATTGCAGTTGTAGCTCTGTGGCGCTTGGAACTTGCTCTTTTGGCCTTGACGATGCGATCCGTTTGACTTCGTAGACTATTGCGCCGGTCTTTATTGCCCTTCGTCGGTCCGGTCGGTCTGAGCGAAGTCCTACCGGGTCTCCGGTTTGATTTGCAGTTGCTTGAGAGAAGTTTTCAAGAAATCCTTGGTGGGCCGGTTTTGTCCGCCTTGTCGGAGAGCGCCGGTAGCGGCACCACCGCAGAAGAAACGCCTGCGTAGACGCTCGTCATCCATCCCCGAAAGGTGGCCGCTCCAACGCATTTTAATTTACATCAGCAAGTCACGGATACTGAGGATTCCGGTTCGCTTGAGGACGCCTGTGCCCAGGACCCTGCCATGCCACCTCAATTCTGCTATTCTTCAGAGACATCTGGGGTGGAGGCAACTGAGGTTGTAGAAGGGGGATCACTGGCCAAGACAAGGGAGGCTAGGATGGCCATTTCTGGCTTAGTGGCCGTCATCGGCCGGCCAAAACCAAGCTCTGAGTTTTGCAGCCCCTGGGGCTCAAACCTGAGTTCTGTTGGCTAAAAGTTCAACGCCCTAATCTATGAGCTACGGACTCGTTGTTATGTCGGTTTGCGATCGGGTATAACGACAAGGTATAATGACTATGGAATTCTAGCCAACAGAATGGAAGTTCGAAGCTCAGAGTTAACAAACCACAGGGGTCGGGCATGCTTGGTTGGTGACTGCTAATAGGCAAGTCTCCATTGTCCCAGTTGGTAATCTCATTTCTACATGTATTACTAGTCGTTGTGCGACATCCTGCGAGTAGTTCCCGCAGTGCGATCGGTGAGCGCCACCTACCATGCTGGTTGGGTTTCGCTTGCCATCCAAATGGGCCACGTGGTAGATGCGCTGGACCAACATGGGGGCGATATCGGGTTCTGGCAGATGCTATCGGATTTGCGCACGATAACAAATGCCGACATTTCGGGGTGCGGTGGCAGACCCGGTTGCCGGCAGACCTCGCACACACTGGGACCCCTACCCTCCCCCCCTCCTCATCGTTGCTCTTGGTCAAAACCTGGTCATTTGCTGTGTGAACCAGTGTGTGTGTGGAATGGAGCGCCAAGGTGCGGAATCGACTGTGCCATCCACCTGCGCCCTCTCCCGCCTCCGACCTTCGTGCTGTGCAAGTCTACTATCATTATATCAACTAATTCACGCGCAAGTCACCGTCCCTGCTTTCAACTTGATGTGGAGCACACGGTGGACATCACAGCAGCGAAGGTCAAACTGTCGGTTGGGTTTCCTCGTCTGATCCTCGTAGACGGTCTAGAGCTCTGCCCCGTACATGAACGTTGTCGGGATTATAGCTCTGTACATCTTGGGTCTGGTATGAGAGAGAGGCCATGGCGATTCCACACTGAGTCCTGCAGCTGGCCGAATGTCTGAGTGGTTTTGGAGACCCGATCGATAATTTTATTGTCTGTTCTTGAGATATGCAAGAGTGTACTGCCTAAATAAACAAATTTGTCCACGGTTTTTAATCGAGTGCCATTTACACTAATGTGAGGGTCGCTGTATGCATTGAAAGGTGACGGCTAATGCATGACAGTTTTACTCGTGTAGATGGTCAGTCCGAAATTTACGCAGCCAGAGGCGAAGGGATCCGTGCTCCGCCGTATATCCGCTTCTATCGTGGTGTTGAACACACATTCGTAAGCGAACAGCAGATTGTGGACAGTAGGTGTCGGGAGTCACGTTGGACCTATATGAATCGAACGTCGAGAAGCCGGTCATCTGTCCTGTAGAAGATGTCAGTGCCTCGGCACTCATTATGGTAGGCGTCTATCAGCATAGCAGATCACATGGGACTGAGATGATGGAATCGAGTACGCGGCCCTACTTCTCCTCCTTCTTCACCGCTTATGTTTCGGAAACTGTTCCACTGACACACGTCAACATTCCGTCGTAAAGCCGTCGTAGCATTTGGGTGAATCATTCGAAAGATTCCAATTTCTGCGCGATTTTCCAGAGCCCGTCACGATTCACTTTGTCCAGGGTCTTCGGCAGTTCTACGAAGGCTGCATAGTACGGTTGACATTTCCTAGTAATCCTGCAATCGGTGAACCGCGAGGATCGTGTCGATGGATCCTAGGTATCATCGGAATCCGCGCTTACTTTCGTGGAGAAGTCCCTGCGCCAGATGCATGTTCAGACGGTTGAAGAAGACGTGGACGACAGTTTCCTCACAATGCTGAGAAGGTAAGTGCCTCTGTCACTATCGCAGTGTTGTCGATACCTTTGCGATTATTGAAGTGGAGGATTATTGCGTCCTTGAAGTCCTAAGGAACTTGTCCCTGTTACAGCATCCCTTGAAAGAGTTAAGCGAGCTTGCTCATCGGCTGAAGGTCCCTGCATATGTG